TATATATATATATATATATATGATGCTAGTAGCAAGCTTACATTCTATTTTGGGTGATATCCAATGATACAGAAATGTTAACCCCTTTCTTGAATTGGTCAAGACAAGGGATACAGATGGGTTGAGGTCCATTTTTCCCAGGCAGATTGATAGGAGGAGTTGAGGATCTGTGGGGATGCTTGTATTCCCAATATATTTTATTGGCTATTTGGCCAAGAAAGATAACTCTTTCCATCATAAAAATATATTTGAGACACAACAAGAAAGATGAAAAGTTAACATGGTCCCCTGGGGGGAGTTCAGTTGGGTATTGACCTGGAAAAAGCTGATTGGGGGTGGCCAGGGATGTTGCGGGTATGACTTGACTGGTATAAGGTGGTTGAAAATTTGGAGATGGAGGCTGGATTTCCATACAAACTTCTTGCTCAAGTAATTTATTCATCCCTTTTGACTGTCATTTAAGTGGCTGGATCACTGGGTGGTGGGGGCATTGTGCTTGGCTAGGATGGTATGATTGGGTTTGGTAGAGCTGATGATTATTAGGAAGACATATTGATGCAGTTGAAGCAATAGCCAGGAAGAACTGTTTATGGGTTTACACACTGGAGACAGTTCATATAGATTTGAGTGGTAGTCAAGCTGGGTGTTATGCGGCCAACCCAACATACTCAAGGGGGGATTTGGTTGGTTGAAGTGCAAAGGGAAAGGTTTGAAGAAAGTGATAAGATGAGAAAATCACAATATTAATTAACTGAGGGAAAGAAGGAGAGAACATAAAAAATACAAGAGCTTATATATTCGAAGAAAGAGTTACAAGCTCAAAGATAGAGAACAAGCAAAAAAGGGTTGAAGCACAAGAGAGGTTGAAGATCAAAGAAAGGGGAGTGTGCTTTGAACATGCCAGAAATTTGATGGATTATCCACTTGAAAGTCTTTGAGGTCTGACCCTAGATGAAGAGGGATTTTTGCTGGTTTGAATTGAAAAGAAGCTTCAACAAATGATGTCATGTCAGAGAGGACTGATTGCTAAGCACAGATGGTGAAGGGGTTATTTTTGTACTTGCTGAAATAATCAAAGGATTGCCAAGCTGAGTTACTGCTCAATGCCTGAGTGCCTTTTATGAAAGTTGAAGTTCAAAATGTGTGATTGCATTTGGTTCGAGAAATGTTGAGCTTTCATTGATTGAGTGTTGCACGTCAAGATAGATTTGTCAGCCTACCTGATGCCAAGGAAGGTTCCTTCTAGCTACAGGAGGAGCAAAATAGTCCAAGAACTTTA